GCCCCGCCGCTCCCGGCCAGCAGGGGGAGCGCAGAGGAGCCCGTGTGCACACGTCCCGCCGAGAGCGTGGCCCGGGGTTGCCGACAAGGAGACTGGCCCGGTCCTCTGGAGCGACTCGGGGGCTACGCTAAAGGTCGAGCTGAAAAACTGCAGGCCCAGGAAAGAGAGATCAACCTTAAATCAACCTTAAAATGCTGTGCAGGGACGAGATTAGAAGTTGTAAATGCCAGACCCCATGGAAAGGGATGCAGGGAGACACTTCGGTTTTGACAGTGAAACCTACAGCAACATCTTTTATAAAGATCTTACAGTTTCCGATGTTTTCCTCTAATGCCGCTTAAACAGTTCAGAGAGATCCCTGCACACAGCGCACTCGTGCACACACACCCACACACTCCTTTTTTAAGGACAGCAGGCCCCATCTGCATGGATGACAGAATACGACAGTGCACAGGCAAATGTAGAAAGAGTGCATTTATTTCTAGGTACCAGTTGATAAAAGAGAGCATTGGTGAGGCTGAAGTCCTACCATGCTCCTCTGGTAATGTTACAGGGAGGTATTTGTATGTGTTTTATCATCGTCTTTCAGGCAGGGTAGAGTCAGATGTAATAGCTATTTGTTTATATTCATAAAATGTTTCTGCTTCTTTCAACCCATGAAAGGAGTAGCTGAGGACTTCACAAAGCATTTAACCTCGTAATTCTGCCATTGGATAGGAAGTGCTCTTCCCATTACGTGATAGATGAGTACTGAAGCACAGAGATGATTACAAGTTACCCCATTATGCTACTTCTCCTTTACTGCCTTACCACACTGGGATCGGCAAGGTTCCATGACAATTTCGTCAGCGTATTTCTGTAATGATGCTGAAGAAATCATAGTGATGTTTTCAAAGCCATTATTTTTATGGGTAAATGTTATCTCTACTCTTTTTTTTTTTTTTGAGTAACTAAAGTGTTTTAAAAGGCAACTAAAAGAACATGGAAAATTATATTTTAAAAAAATCAACATTTTGAGAATTATGTCATAACAACATGTAATGAATCAGAACACTTAGAGTTTCTTGTAGTTGGCTAAACATCCCTGAAGTCCCAAGTTTATCTGAAACATTCAAACTGCCTTTTTCAAATCTTTTCTAGGAAAATAATATTCTTCCATCTTTTGCCCCAAAGAAAAAATATATATTAAGAGTACTTGAAGTTGTGTAGCAGGAACGTTCATCCAAAAACAAATAATTTGTACAAACAAGAAAATACCAGTACAAAAGTATTCTTCTGTAACATATTTTGTCCACCCAGATCACACTCACGGATGTACTGTAATTACTTTTCATTGACCTTTAGTAGGATTGGAAAGAAAATACCAAAACTATTTTATTTTATTTCTGTCATTACACAAAAACTTGATCTCAACCATATATTTCTCCATGAAATAAAATTGTTAACAGTTATATCATGGATATCACTAACATTTCTAAGTTTATAATTGACAGACTGCTGATATAGACAAACCATAAATACTGTCTTCCAATTACAGAGGCTCAAGTGACAAACATCAGCATAAAAATCTTTGGCATGGTCATAAAAATATCCCAATTCATCATTAGTATTGCTAGGGGAATTAGAAAATGTAATTGCTTACGAAAATTAGAAACACTGCAAGCAGAAGGCACAAAACCATTTTCAGTGAAGCCTTTCTAAATATTTTGGAAACTTTCACTGCTCAGATTAACAAAAATTCCTAATGCTAAAGAGCAGTGCTTGACGGTGCAACTCTGTGTTCTCCGGCTATATTGTAGAGTTCTTTCAGAAAAAAATATAGTTTGAAGAAACACAAAACAAAAGAAGCCACATTACAGAAGGTGTGCTACACAGAATAATTCTTGCAGCAAAATTAACAACAGAAGTGTCAGAGCCAGTAGCAGGTAAATTTTAGGTAAGAAAGCCATTCAAGCTAGTGGGGCTCTGCTGTATGGCTGAGAACACTCACATTTAGCAACTGACTGTCTTCTCACAGAAAGTCAGTATCTGTTTCACCTGCGATATTTCTGTAAGGACATTGCCTAACACCTTTTCTTTCACATCTCTGAGGCAGGTACTACCTTAAAAAATTATGCCAAGCGTAACAGCGTGACTTTATAAATATAAAGACAGGCTTAAATGGGTCAGTAAAATAATCAAGAATACTGGCAGCAGTTTATTATCACTTGGCACCAGAATTAACGCTTCACTCAAATAAGTAAGGCAAAACCCTACAGCTATATCAGAAGGCTCTCCACAGACTCAGGCAAGCATGCCTGCACCTCATGCAAGTCATCACATTAGATTTTCTTGGAAATGACAGCAATGAGAAGCTTCTGTTATAAAAAGAAGAGGTGAAATTCTGGAGAATAAGTTGGCAACTTGGAAAAGGATTGACACACCTTATGATTACATCCTGGCACAACCTTAATTTGAGGATTGACACACAGACAAGAATCCAGAGCAACTAAGATATTTTCCAGCTTGAAGCTGTCATGTAAAGGAGTCTGTCTTTCCCACCGATGATGAAAGAAGCCAAGAGAGACCAGCCCTCTATGCCTTTGTGAAGAACCTCCCAGAGCTAGGTGCAAGAGACTGAATGATGGCTGGTAGTCACAATTCAGTCCCCGTACCAGATGGCTGGTAGTCACAATTCAGTCCCCTTCCCCCTTTTACTTTGGGGATTGTGTACCGGAGATAATCTGCACCTTCTGTAGTCTTATGCTGCTTCTCCCTTGTGCAAGCTTAGGAGTGCCAAAACACACGTTGAACAGAATTACAGCAGTCTGTGGGTTTTTTCTAATTTGTACCCTTACCTCCAGAAGCAACTTTCATCTCCAGGTCACTTGAGTGGCCTGTGTAGGTAGCAAACTGCAGTTTTGTGAAGATGCATGGTGATCCTGCCCCTGTCAGCAACGAGCAACAGTGCTTCCATGTGGCACTCCCACGGGGAATACCACCGTATTTCCCACTGAGCACTATCTCCTAGCCTGTGCCAAGGCACAGTGCACACTCCGCAACAGGGGCACCTACTCAGTTGCAGACGCTGGCACTTCATTTGTCCCTCTAAGCAGTATGAGGTGCCTTAGCCTGTGAAAGGCGAGGAGCCTTACTCTGTGATCTATCATCACACAGTATCATTTAAGACAGAACAGGTGACAAGCAGCCTGTACTTGAAAAATTCGGTATTTACTGTTCCCATCACTCATCTTTCCTGGTGATAACTATCTTGAGCCAACATGGCTCTGAGGAAACTCAGCGGAGAAAGTGTTTACCTTTGTGCAAGTTATTTGTCAGTTAACAACCAATCTTCACAGCTGTAACAACATTCTAAAGCTACACAAGGATTTCAGAGCACTAAGAGAAAGCACATTAGCACTTACAACAAAATACAATTATAAACAGAATTTCTGTGCCAGTCTTCGTACCTGCAGAAAAGGTAGGTCATGTATTTCCCCTATGCTATGCAGTGATAAGCTTGTGGAGGTGGGCGCTGTGGGAGTCAGAGGGAATCTGCAACTCTACAGATGTGTGCACGTGAGGAATTTTGACTTCGTGCAAGGTGGGACTTTGCAGGTATTGGTGTTTGGAGGTTCAGGACACACACTTGCTCAGAGAGCCTCAGAAATGAAGCACTGAGAAGCAGTACGTGCTTGTTGGGATGAGACCAGTATTACTGTGCATTTTTAACAGCTGTAGTTTTGGGGTTTGGTTTGGTTTGGTTTCTATCTACATATATAGATATTTGTTTATGTCTGTGTGTATAGCTCTTAAACACTGCTGTAATAAGAAATGTTGTGGGCTTTCTTATCAGCTCATTGAAAATCTTTGCAGTCTCCGTTTCAGCTGGTGCTGCATGAGATGAAATAAAGCTATTTAAAAGAGATAAAGTAAAAACCATATACACTGTGAGGAAGGCATATCCTGAAAGACACACTGAATCATTTTGGGGCAAGTAAGAGAAAATGAAGGATGATGTGAGGTAGCATTTCCAGTCACACTTTCTGGTAGACAGGTTGACCTTTATCTGAGATCAAAAGGACCTGCAGTAGCTGGGGATTTCTTCAGCTTCTGTGCAAAGAGTATTCTTGAAACTCTATGAAGAAACGCAGCCATGTACAGCTACCCCTTGTTGTCAGTGCACAGGCCGGGCATAGGCACACAGGAAATTCTCAGTTGCAAATGCAATCTTGACTTTCTCTTTAGAAGATAACATCAGTTTTTCTCAGAGGCAGAAGAGATAGTAAAAGGCAGCAGCCAAGCAAACCTCCGAGAACAAAGAAACAAACCTTGACGTGAACCTGCTCCATGAACATTTGAACGTTAAATCAAAGTACGGGGGAAGTGCTACAGAGCTAGAGTTTTGGTCCGTGCCCAAATTTAACACAAATTAAGAAGAAATGAAGTTAAAAG